ACAGACTGATCAGAAGTGAAAATAATCATTAGCCACAGACATGTAAACATAGTGTTTTAGTCTACAAATGAATAATAATGTTCACTTGATATACAGTTCCAAAGAAAACATCCATCGAGTCTTCAGTCTGGCTTTTGAATTGTCGTCACACTTGTTTCTAATTGTATTGCATCTGTCATGCAGACTGGCTAATGAGGCAAAACAGAGAGAAAGAGCACTATTCTTTGTAAATGGGGAATTGTATTCTGCTGATAAGAGTCTTATCTGAGAGTCTTCCAGTTGTTTTATTGTTCAGACAGCCAAGCGTTGAATGTAAGTGCCACAGCAGGCCATTTTTTTATGTCAACATATTTGGACCCAAATATCCCCCTATGTGTAAATCTGATCCTGATCCAACACCTGATCCACACGTCTCACTTCCACAGACAGAAGAAAAGACGCCTGTAATTAGCCTTAATTATTAACTGGAACTAGACTGACACCTGTGAGACACCATGATATCTGTCTGTCTTAAACGGCTCATTCAAGCCATCAGATAACCAAAACAATCCGCTCAGCTCCATCAGCAATGCCTGGATATTTAATTAAAAAGTGTGAACTGGTTAGACTCAGACATTAGATTATTAAGGCACAAACCAAAGATAAAATTCCTGCCCTTAAAACAGACAAACAAATCTTTTGAGCCAAAGTGAATGACTTGTTTTCTTGTAATTGATAGAGAAATACTTGATTTGATTGCTTCATTCTTTTGTGCAAACTCTCAGCAGCCACACATCCACAGAGTCGATGTTTGTGCTCACTCTTTCTCTCTCTTTTGCTCGTCTGAGACCTGATAGAAATTCAAAAGGATCTGCTGCTTTGAAGATAAGCGCTGTAGTTCTGCCATAAACAATGATTGTGCTGTTTCTTTCCTGTGTCGTGATTTATTTAAAGTATTATGCTGTAAGGATTTGGGCTGGTTTTCCTGGCAGGGCCGGCTGTGTGTATGTATCCACTACTTGTGTAGTTTATTGGATACTTGAGATTCAGGAAAACACTCAGGGAACCACAAGCAAAGCCATTAAAGCTTAACCTTTCTCCCTTATGGTAACAAATTACAAGAATGTACAAATACTGTATGAAATACACATTTAAAATGAAACACAATAACTTAGTTAAATTCATTAAAATAACTCGGTTTTAATTTCATTCTTACATAATTGAGAGCTGCCAGCCTGGCAGAGCGGACTTTGTATAGAAACACAATGCTTGTGGTCACACACACACACCACACACACACATATGCTTCCTTTGATAAAGTGTTTTTATACCAGCAGAAATTCTATGGCAGCGTCCCTTAAGACAATATCTGCGTAAAATACCAAGTTATATATAGCGACTGTGCCATTTTGACTTCAAAAAATAAACATGAGTGTAATGGAGTTTAAACACAAGGGAACAATTATCCAGTCCCGAACCTACGAGTCTATTCCGGTACAGGCAGGGTGCAAATGGCCCTTAAGTGTTGATTGTAATATCTCAAAATCTTAATGAGATTCTGCATCACAATAAACTGGCTGTCATTTTAAAAGACTGTAAACAGTGAAAGTGTGACGGTGGGTGAAAGTAATAAATACCACATCTAGATTTAATTACAGTGAAATCAAAGTATCCATGGCATTTTCATGTCTTAACGGGGGAAAAGTTGTATATGTGTTTGCCTGTGATTGTATTCCAAGAGGATGGAGAGGGGTCTTTTGAACGTCCACACCAGGATACAGCTGCCTATGACTAATTTCAAACTCCCCTTCTAGGGCCGAGGCAACCCATTTCGCAAGTAAAACACATCACCAGGCATCTGTTTCCTGTTTTCATTCTTTGAGTTATCTTATTTTCCTTATTTCCCCCTCACCTGTTACAGTTCACGTTCCTTCCATCATGCCGCACGAGCCCGTTGCCACAAGGCCTTCGGACGTCAGAAAACACTCATTCATGTAGTCATGTCTTAGTAGTCAAAAGATAAATTCCTTTTAATGAGATGACAAAACAAATTAAAATATAGTTCAAGATTGAATTTAAAGACAAGACTTCTTAATCTTTTTCCACATTTTTTAATAGAAACAAACATTTCTTATACATTTCCAACAACCAAACCTCAGTCATTTTCTGATTTTCGCCATGAGACACTGTACATACATGTAATCATATATCTCCTTATGAGCGGTAATACTTCAGAAGTTTCTCATCAGTTGGTTTCAGAATCTTTTTCTCCGACATGTTAACGACCCAGCCTGGAGCAAGGCCAAAGAAGATCTGTCGAACATCCTTCCTCATGGCGAGCATGTGATACAGTTCATCCTTTGAAATGTCTGGCAAAATGTATCCATACTTCTGTGCCAGGGCTAGCCGGGCCTGCTGGATTTTCTCCGGGTCTGCCAAGTAACCTCTGTTTTCAGCATCTGTGTAAAAGGGAACCATATCCTGCCCTGGTAACATGCGCTTTGGAATGGGCTGCCCACGCAAGAAGAAGGGTACAGGCTTGATGAGAATACCTGCAGGAAAATAGAATACATGTTAAGGCTTTTTATCTAAACGATCTTCCTGTTATATTATGGATGGATAGAGACTGTTTTATTAGTTACCAAGACTTATAGGGTCATAGAAACCAGTCGTTATGACCCCTCCGTTCCTCTCAATAGCAGCTATAGCTCCTTCAGACGCTCTCTGAACTTCAATGTTGATTTTTGCAGCGAAAATGTCAGCACCCTGGAACAGAAAAAGCACTTAATATGTGGCACTTCTAGCAGAACAGGGAACAAAAGACATGGGGCGAAAAAAACAACATCTTGATCTGTGATATTGACACTACTGTTATATGGTGCCACCTACTGGCGCAAGATGATCCAGAGCCACACTCTGAACCCTTTTATGACTTACATCGCAGTGGTTGTTTACCAAACTTGCATTGGAGTCAATGTTTTATAAAAAAAAGTTTAAATGTTTTTTCTCTCCTGAAATCTATGGTTTGCTGTCAGCATCAGGTACTTTCTTTGTAGTTGTGTAGAATGTGTTTGATGTATAGAAAATACTGTATGCATGGTACAGCTATACCCCTCGCATAATTGGATTTTACACTGCGTATAGTACCGCATCAGTGTGGGCAGGTTATTAGCTGTTTGTCACTTGAAATAGATATGTAAACAGGAGACTTGCTGAAACCGTCATTGGCAACCAAACAAAAGAAACAGATGGGAATACCATTGACAGTTTAGGTTTAAAAACGCTGTGTGTGCAGGATGTCCTGTGACGTGGCAATTAGTAGTTGCCCTGGGATTTCTCTAATAATGCTCCACCCATTGATACTATGACCTGAAGAGATAAGTGTGTAACTGATAAGTGTCTCCTCCAATTTAAACATTGGAGGAGAGAAAACAGCTGCCTATGTGTCTTTTTATTAATGTTTGGAGCAAACAACTCAATGCTCAATGAGACATTACCTCATCAACAAGCTGGACTCCATAGTCCCTCTTCAGAGGCTGGATTGTTACCCCTCTGCCGTTCACTAGCTGGGTCAGGTCTATGGGCTGGGAGGGGTCCACACGGCCCAGATCAATCAGGTACTGCAGTCGTTTCAATGACAGAGGTTGGTACTGAGGACGCAGACTGTGGAAGACACACAAATATGACATTTATTGGTTGAAATGATTTAAGATAATCTGAATCTTGACACAAATAACAATTAGTACAACAAATAATCCATGCAACACATTCTGTATAATTGTAGCATTGAGCAGCAACAACATTTATACCACATTAATACTGGACATGTGTAGGATTTGGGGGTATAAATATGCATTTCTACCAGATGCACTACTATGATTATCCATATAAAGAACTGCATCTAGTTATGAATCCTTGTGAGAGAAATTTGTGGTGTAACAGATACAATTCTTTACAGACGCATTTCAATGACATAAAATCTATGATCTATGAAAACCTTGACTGTAACTTGTTTACCTGTGTCCTTCATTGTAGCCATATTTTGGAATGGAGAGATAAAAAGGAGTGTGACCCCCTTCAAATCCCAGCCGAGGCCGGTTGCCTCTCTGTCGCTGTCCTTTATGTCCTCGGCCGCTTCTGTTGCCACCATGCTGTCCTCTGCCCAGACGTTTATCCTACAATTAAAAAAGAAATGCAAGGGTTTTAGCTAGCTAGCAAATGTATCATCCTATCAAAACAACTGACATATTAGCATTCATCGCCACTGCCAAAACCAGCTAACTAGCTGCGTTAGCTAGAGCAGCTGCAACATATAGCCTAAATACTGATTGAACATTAAAACGTACCGCCTTTATAGATCCTGGCTCAGGCCGCAAGTTTGCTAAAGTTATCCGCGGGAGATTTTTCAAAATATCTAACGCTTTACCAGGTTTTTTAGGAAAAGACATGTTTCTTTTCCTCACATGTCATTAGTTGCCAAACCAAGGACATACAGGTCATGTGACTGACTTGAGCGGAAGGGCTTCACGTGGGAAATCCAAATTTCAAAATAAAAGGGCAACAGTCAAAATGTGCTACATAAACAGTTGTGCCGTAAAGCATTTTAAGCGGTATTTTATGGTTGGTGAATGTCACTACATATTGGTAACATAGGGGTAGAGAATACATACTTGTTTAAAGTTGAATGGGTAAACAGAACAAATAAAACAACACATTTAAGCCCTAACAATTGTGTCAAAGGTCACGACGTGTTTGCTTGTTAAATGTTTATATCACCATTTAATATTGTTCAAATATGATGCTTGTATTGTTTTGTAATCTTAACAAACTGTATATATTTCTGAGTTGTCGAGATGTGGTTTGTTGTTATTTCTATTCGAATTAACCTTTATTTAAGTAGCATTGACTGACATTTCTACTAATCAATCGGTGCTCTAAATCTGAAAGAAACTGCTGCTGACAGCCAATCACGAAGTGGAGGGGGGCGGGTCTACAACGCATGTCAGTGCAAGTGGTGAGTAGTGTAATTCGGCGGTGTATTATTTTCAACAAAATTCAACTTGTTGAAATAAATGTATCACTGCCAATAGAAATACGAGGCGGCGGTACCTTGACTTTCATCCTGGGTTCGAGATTTGCCCCTAAACTGTTTGTTGTTTGACAGCCAGAACCGGACAAAGCTCGACACAGATTGACAGGAGGGGATATCGTTATTAGCTTACGCATTAGCTAACTTGTCTCTTCATATCAGCTGCCTCAGCGCTGTATGTGCGGCAATAGCATGTCAGCGCCTTTACCTGCCATTGTGCCTGCTGCCCGGAAAGCTACTGCGGCGGTGAGTTAACCAGGGAACATTTGCTAACGCTAAGCTAGTTGAAGTTCAACCTAGAGCAACTGTGGGTTCCAATAACTACTCAACTGGTTACATGTAAAAATGCCATCACGTTCTGACATGCCTTAACTTATTCTAACTCGGTTTCTTTACAGGTGATATTCCTGCATGGACTTGGTGATACAGGGTATGTGAAGACATCCTTTTTTTGTACTCTTGTTGTGCAACAATACTGTTGCTGGTCACTCATAAATACTTTTAGTCAAACTAGTTTAATTTTGTCCCATTTGACAGACATGGCTGGGCAGAAGGTTTTGCTGGCATCAGGATACCACATGTGAAATACATCTGTCCACATGCGTAAGTTTATACAGCATCTATAACATTGCACAATCCTGAATGTCTTATCATCCACTATTATAAATGGTGTAAAAATCACCTTGTTTACTATCGTTTGCCAGAGAATTGTTGTCATGTTAAATGATGTTAAGCCAAACTGATGTTACTTTTCTCCATTGTTTACAGTCCCACCATGCCAGTTTCTTTGAACATGAGAATGTCCATGCCATCTTGGTAAGTGTCAGAGTATTTGAACATATGGGTGCCATCTTCACATACACAATGAGCCTCACATGATTTCTCTCATGTGTAGGTTTGATATCTATGGATTGAACCCAGATGCAAATGAAGATGAGGCTGGTATAAAAAGAGCGTCAGAGAACAGTAAGTCTTTCAATTTCATTTTATAATAAATCGTTAGGAATGTGCTGCTATTTTCTTTGAGTTGCATAAGAGCTTGTTAACGGATGGCGGTATGAAGCAAGTGTTTTTGTTAATGTATCCACAGTTAAAGCCTTGATAGACCAAGAAGTGAAGAATGGAATTCCTTCACACCGAATTCTCCTGGGTGGATTTTCACAGGTAAGTGTGGCATGTACGCAGATGATGCGTTACATAACACTTAATAACTCACTGGTTATGCATATAATGTATTCAATAAAACACATTCAGAAGATATTCTCACATAATTGCATTTATGTTTTGTCATTTATTGCACGTACTTAAGCTGCAGAGTCTTGAAAAATATATATTTTAACTTGCACAGTTTAATAAATGGAATATTTGTAACCCCCGATGTCAAGAATGTGCTACTTTCTCTAAAATGTACATGTTTAAAGGGGTGATACTATATATAAATATGTAGGGGTCTCAGTAGTCAGATTATTAATATTATATTAACTTTTAATACAAAACTATTTAGGCCATTGTGGTGATATTTTTTTTTTTTGGCGAAAAAAATCCTGGTATGTTACCCCTTTACCCCTCAGTAAATCTAATGAGGTTCATATAAAACGTAATAGATTTATGGATCACAGAGGGATTAACAGCACTAGAACTCAATGAAATCTAAAGGAACCTATTAATGTTCTCCATCCTCTCCTATTATGATGCCAATTCACAAGCGACACAACTAAGATTATTTTGTGTGTTGTTTTCTTCTTTCCAGGGTGGAGCGTTGTCACTCTACACGGCTTTGACGACTCAGCAGAAGCTAGCCGGAGTGGTCGCTCTCAGCTGCTGGCTCCCTCTGCGCAACTCCTTCCCTCAGGTAGACAAAGATTCATTTAGAGGTTTTCAGTGATTCAATAAACACGACAACAGAAGCTTTTGGTCGGTTCACACAAAGCGCAAAACAATAAATAATATTGTTGCTGCTGTATTTATGCCTAATTTAGACAAGGCGGCTTTTGGTGCAGCTATAATGTCAGTATATCCCTGATCAATGTGAACAGCTTTCCCGAAACAATCATTTTGTTTGCTTGTTGTCTTGATCACAGCATGAATTCAGACTTTTTAGAAAATGGGATCATGTTGAAGTTATTCATGACATCCTTTAGTTTAGTAATCCCAAAGTCAAATTTGCTTTGCGTTGGATGCAAATACAGCATTAGAGAAATGTTAATGTAAAATGATTGAAGTTCCCCACTTCTTTTAATTGCTCAAAAACAAAGGTGAAATACCCCAGTAGTTAATTTTATAGTAGTTTAATTGTACTAGGAATATCCCAACATCTTTCATAATAAGATGATAACAATATTATTAATCTCTTCTGTTCAAAGGCATCTGCCAATTGTCCTAACAAGAACATGCACGTCCTTCAGTGCCACGGGGACGCCGACCCCGTGGTTCCCTTTATGTTTGGCAGCCAGACAGCAGAGAAGATGAAGAGCCTCGTTAATCCAGCCAACATCACCTTCAAGTCGTATCGGGGTCTACCTCACAGCGCCTGTCCAGAGGTCAGTGTGGGGAAAGCCACATTCTACTCAGAGGCTCCGGTTCTATACTGAATATATTTAATTTGATTCTGTATGTGTGCAGGAAATGGTGGATGTGAAACGATTCATAGAGAAGCAGCTTCCAGCCATCGGCGATGAATGATCTTGGAGCTGCACAGCACCGTCAGAGTCCTTCGGGTTTGACTCCTCGGACTCCCTGAACCACTTTCTACTTGACAATAAACCACGCTGCTACTCATAGAGCCGTACCGGACTGGGGCTCCATGTTAACCCGGGAGAGACTGATAACGAAAAACAATGCTGTATCCTGACCTGGTGCCACACACAACCCTCAGTGTTAGAGTAACTTTAGTTGCTTGATTGTAAAGCTATGCCATTAAGACAAGCCATCTCCTGCAGGAAACACATGTACTGGAATAACTAGGGCTACTTTATGGTTTAATTCCTAATATCTCACAATAAATGGCTTATTGTTAAATGTTCTTTTTTTTTTATCAATGAAGCTTTAGTGTAGTAGTGCTGAAGCAAGTTATTAGTTGATAAAGAAATATAACAAATGCACTAGATAAAAACGCCTCCAGATTTGCTTTTTAAAAATATAAATATATTTTAAATATGCTATGTTGGTGTTTTTGGAGTTGTCTTAAAGGCTAAACAATTATGTAAAAACAATAATCGACAGTTCATGTTTTTGCACCCATAATTTGTTAAAGAAATCTTAACAAAGCATTTTCAGAGAAAACTTTTTTTTTGAAGGCAGCCTTATCCACATAGGAATTATTTCTTGTAATTTATAGTGCCATATGTTGAAAACACACAACTGCAAAAAACAACATACGATTGTGCTTTATTTAATTTGTGAGAATTAAAATATCTATTTTGCACAAATATCTTTTAAAATACACAAATATATCAGTGGTCATGGTCATGTATTTCAGTTTGTTTAAATTAAACATAATATGACTAATATCACAGTATTGAAACACACAGACAAGATCTATTTCCGGTTCTCAGCTCATCGAGTTGTATAAACTTTTTTTCTTTGAGAAGAGCTGAAAGCACCAACATATGAAGTCATTGTCGCACCATCCACGTTAGACCAAAGGTGCTAGTGTAGAAGATCTTATTCCAAGGCACTTTCCTTCTTCATAAGTTACTGTTAAATAAAACCTAGTAGTTTCTATAAGAACTGGATATGCATTAAGGCTCACAATATACCTAAATACAAATGCAGTGCTCACAGATGCATGCTTTCCCTCATTAAACAAGGTAGAAAAGTGCAATGTCAAGCTAGGGAATATATAAAAATATAGATATGTTTTCTAACAAGTAACTGATGCTGAAGCATTTGTTCTTGTTTGCTCCGAGTATTTTGGTAAGCTAATCATGGGTAAATAAACCGCACTTAACAGCTGGGTGACGACCGGTTTTAAGAAGTGGTCATTTTCCTGTCTGTCTTTCTCTAAATAGCGGTACTCCAACAGGAACACAGAACTCCTTCGGGTGGGACGCATGCGCCATTTTCAAAAGCTAAGTGTGTGTCAGTGGTGGGTCTATGGCTCCGGGGGAGGCTCCTCCAGGCTCTTCAGCAGATCTGTGTACGCAGTTGAGTTCATGTAGCGAGGGTATGAGTCTCTCTGCATCAGCGTGTAGATCTGCTGCTGCGCGTCGTCGAACGTGTGCGAGGTGGCCTCCAGCATGTTGCGGTTTATCACTTCTCGAACACGTGAGTCCAAACTGACCTGGAGAAGATGAGCAGGTAAAAGATTGAAGCACACGATTTAGAGCTAACATGATTGATTGAACAGATTTATCTTATAGTTGATTAACAGAAAATTCAGGGTGTATACGCACTGTTACTGCCTAGCTCCTTAAAAATGAAACTATTTTCTATTGCATCAGTCACTAGCATTTATGAGCAACAACCTGTTTCTTTTTTTGCCAACAAGGCAGAAAAGCCTGTCTCCTCCAGAACATCAAATTAAATATACCCAACTTAGTGCTTGTTGTCACATTAAGGAGGGGAAACATAAATTGGGTTTTACTGACTCCAAGAACACTCCTACCAAACTAGTTTTGAACTGAATTTAAAATATGTGCACTGCTCGATACATCCCCTGTATACACTTTATACTGCAAAAGAAATGTATGTATATGTGCAGAGCAACAAAAACAAAGCTTTTCAGATAAGTGCTATTTCCCATTTATAACCATTGATGAGACAAATAAGTGATTTAATAAGCTGTCTTGTGTTCTGGGAAGTAATAAGAGGATTTATTTTCCAAATGTCTGACCTGGTATGGACAAAACAAATTAACACAAGGTTATTAATCAAGAAAATAACAGTTAGTTTAGATAATGTCTTTAAATTAGCTTTTTATTCCTCGACCAACACTCCCAAAATCTTAACAGAACATTTAAGATGTTTTCATTAGTTGATGATTTATTTTTCTGTTGTTCCACTAAAGTTAAACAATAACGCTTTCAAAACATTTCTGCACTATAATCGCTGTAGCCACACCAACTCACCTCTTTAGGGGACAGGATTGAGATGAAGTCCTCGTATATCTGACGGACTTTCTCCTCCACCACAGTCTTGTTGGTCTCCTTTTTGAGCTCCTCGCAGGCGAACCAGAACATCATGTTCTCCTCGCTGAACTCCGTCCTCAGGAACTGCCTGAAGCAGCCGCGGCCCGCTGCACTCTTCATCACCTTTTCAAACGACATGGGCCAGGAGCGAGCGTCTTCCAGAGTGGGCTTCGGGCTAAAACATAAAATAATAGATCTGTTGGTTCACTGTTATTTCATTCTCTCTCACACAAAAGGTTCACAGTGTTTAACCATTACCTTTCTTCACAATTGTTGGTTCCCTCTGTCCTGCGCTCAAAAGTGGACCTCTGTATTGTCTCGTCCTCACTCCTAACGGTCAAACTGGAAAAACAAAACAGAAAATAAGGCCATAAATAGCTTGACATCCAGTTTTGAAACTGCAGCCAACATTTAAATAACTCTTGAGTCCTTTAATGTCAGCCTACCTTACTAAAAATAATACAGTTCTGTGAAATCATACCTGTCAAAGCTCAGTAGGCTATTTCTAGCAGTTCATTGTACAAGCTATGTGACTGGACACATGTTTTTTAAATGATCTCACTATCAGATTGTGCTACAGCAACATTTGACGCGCATCTGAAATATGATTGTAAAATGTAGCATTGCATTCCTCTTCCTAGGAAAAGTGTGCCATTTTAAATACCTATAATAATTTTCTCGCCAAGAAATAGATAAAAAGATTGATACAACTCTCATATCTGTACATCAAATATAAAGGCACAGTTAGCAGATAGTTAGCTTAGATTAGCTTAAAGGGGACCTATCATGCAAAATGCACTTTTGTACGTCTTTTATACATGAATATGTGTCCCCGGTGTGTCAGGGAACTCACCAAGTGTCAGAAAACACAACCCTCTCTCTTTTCCTCCATACCCAAATCTCTAAAAAGTTGGCTGCAACGGAGCTGATACAGACTGATCCAGATTTGAATTGTTCTGATGTCAGAAATGGGGAACTCCGCCTATATGGGCAACTCTCCACCAATCAGGGGAATGAGAGGTTGCCGTGGCATGGTAACAGCATGGTAACAGCATGGTAACAGCATGGTAACATGACGCTCGTGCCTCGCCCCCATCCTTTGCAGGGGGGCGTGGTCAGCTGCAGCTCATTTGCCACAGAATCAGCCCTTGCAAAGACAGGGCTGGAATAGAGCAAATAGAGCGAAATGAGGCATGGCTAAAATGCATGATCTGTTTGGTATTTTGAAAAAAAACCTTCACAGACATGTTTTATATAGGTATGCCCTACAATATATTATTCAAATATAGCATGATAGGTCCACTTTAAATACTGGGAAAAGGGTTTACAGCTGGCATGGCTTTGTCCCAATATACCAAAAAAAATGCCAATTATCAACTTTAAACGTCAGACAGGTATCACAAAATATTGTATTTGTTAACTCCATACAAAAACTGTAAAGTAAAAATGAGATTGTTTTTTTTATCGCACTGTATGGACTATTTCTCGGATGGGAGTTATCGCTGCAGTTGCCAGGAAGAATAACTTGGCTAGCAATACAATAGTATATCTCCATTTTGTATATTTACTGCAGGCCTGGTATACCATACTTGAGGTACTGCATTTTGTTTGTGCGACATTTGAAATAAAAGAACACCTACAGTAGATTCAGGAAGCTCTGCTGGGAACCTTTGCGTAAATATTAAAATGATAAACTGTCCACATCGTCCTGTAGGGATTACCTATGCGTAATTAAAATGTTCCCATCACCTGATGTAGCATCTGGCTGTACACTAATTGGCTCAGATAAGAGTCTGCTGTGAACCCCCCCCCCCCCCCCCCCCCCTCTGGTAACCTGTTTGTAGCTGTGCAACAATCAGATGGAATTGATATATTACTCATCCCCAGTGGAGTGATTTAACACGGCACACAACAGGTTGGCTGTCCTCAGAGGAAGCACAAGTGTACGTTGGACAATTCAAAACATGTTATAACCCCCTGAGGCCTCCGTCCAATGAGATCCAGCGTGGGTCACAGGACCACTGTGTTCCTGTTTTTCTGGGATGGTGGTGTGGGATGGTGTTATTGAATGGGTGGGAGGATGGAGGCAGAGGAAGTTGTCTCCACTGAGCTGGTACTGTTTAATGAGGCCAGGAGGGACATCTTAGTAAAATGATGCAGTTTGCTGATGCTCTGTCCAGTTACATTTAGTGTGTCACAGGTCTCATGTGTGGTTTTCCACTGGACTTCAAAAAACAACAACATACAAGTCTGTTTGCAAACATGTTGAAGTGACAAGATTTTATATGAAGGATACCTTACTTGGATAGGGTTTGTCTCCTGCAGTATACTTCTAAACAACGCACCCTTTGGATTGCATGAATATAAAGTTGAACATATTTTCAAAGTAAATAAAACTTCTAAAGCCCACACATTAGAAAACATTTAAGTATGGCAGGCATGACAGGAAATGTATGTCTAAGAACAAAACATTTTTCAAAACAGCTATCTTTCGAGTTAAAATCTATATTCTTTTATAGGATTGTAATGGATCAAACCCTAGTACAGCTGATATTATTGTGTATGATGTGTGATCCATCATTTGGCAAAGGCCATAAGGGATACACTGATATGATGAAAAATTACCTTAGTCTTCAATGATTAAGACTTCAAAACCTACATATCGATGAATGTCAATTATTATACCAGTTAGCCTACGCCGTGTATCATATTTTTAAAACTATTCTACAATAAATTACTTTTCTTACAATTCATTGATTGATCATTATGTCTATAAATGGCTGTTTATCGTTAAGAAAAGACTTGTTTTGTACAACCACCAAGTCCAAAACTCAAAGATATGTATTAACATTAATACAATTTAAAATATAAAAAGCAGCAATTATAGCCAATGTTTAATTAATCAATTATTAAACTATCAAATTGTTGTCTATTAATTCCCTGTAGTCCATATTGATGAATATAATTATGTTTTGGCTATTCTTTAGATTATTTTGCATTTGATTCCCCCGTTTGAAACAGGACTTAGAATTATTCAAGAATATTAGACAGCAACTGCATCATCTAAACAAAGGGTATTCTCATTTTTTATAAAGATAGCCTTTTTCAACATATACTGTCTCCAATTATCTCTCAGTTAATATTTGTGTGGGGTAGATGTATTATTAAAGGCTACCCAAAATACAGTAAATGGGCCTTTTCCCCCACATATCTCCCAGTGTGAGGCAGGGTCTTTACCAGGAGCAGCTACAGCAGCAGCACCAGCAGAAGCAGCAGGCGTTAGAGGCGTTGGTGGGGGTGTTTCCCATTCTGTGGCGCGCTTGGAGGACACTGGCAGCTGCTTCCTGATGAACCTGCATCTGTCTCTTACGCATCTCCACCCGCTCCGAGCCCATGGACTGCGAAGAGAAGAAGACATGGAGACCACATTGAGGTTTTTTTTTTTTTACCGCATCAAGCTGGCGCATTACGCACACAAACATCCAAGACATCACAAGAGATTAAGATATGACAGGAGGCCTGGATCTGTCTTAAACCTGATTAAATAAGCAATGAAAGGCCAGATAATCCTGTAAAGGAAAGTGGTAACATGTGTACGCACGAACACTTCATGATCATGACGAGTGGGGTCAACTTCTGTGCAATGCATCCTCAATAAATCGACATTTCCCGATCAAGAAATTAGGCGTATGGTGCGTTTAAGGTGCATATATCGCAGTTGAAAGCTCGAGATGTCCTACCGGTTTGATGGTTCATGCTGAATGCAACAAAAAAACAAATTGTCATGAGCAACAGCCGCCTTTCTCTGTCCTCCTCTCTCTCAGTCTGTGAGGGATGAGCAGTAATGATAGCGACAAGGCGTTACTCTTGGACCGCCGCAATCGCATCCATCAGTCGCATCTTCGGGAGGATGCACACACACACACACTCATACACACTCATGCATGATGTTCGATTCGAAGCAATCCCCTAAAGCAAGCAGTGTGCAGCCATTTATAGAAACATAATTACATTATTTGATGAGAAAAGCTGATAATTTTACAGTCAGATGGTTTTCTGGCCAGGCAGAGAGCAACATATCTACATTATGTTTAAACATCGTTATTATTATTTAAATACACACCACAACACGCACAAATGGAAAAAGATGCCTGGAATATTCACTTAAAGATGCTCCAGCCCAACTGCATCATTTATCCAGTCTATTGTATTAAAAAATGCACAAATGCGAGGGTGTAATCATTCCAAAAGTTGAATCTGAATGTCTACTCACTGTGTCACCATGAATGCCAGAATGCAGGAGATTTTTTTGCCTCGATCACATCCGTCAGCCTCGACTTGATACAAACTGGTTGGTTTCTCTTCTGCGCGCATGCGTTTCCTTCAAGTGTGAAAATAATTTTCTGCGACCCGTGCATTAACGGCAGAACACACTGTGCGCCTCCTGTTTACAGCAATGGCTTCTGCAGGACTGAGGCTGCCAGACATTTAAATCCACAGATTATATTAAGATTCCATGTGTTTGGGTACTGATGATCTGACACTGCGATGATTTGAGTGGAATACATAAGCTCCAAAAAAATCCCATAAGAGATCATCCATAAATAAAAATAAATAAATATTGCAAGGTATTTTCTCCAGACTGCGCAGTTGTCTGTTTTGAGATGCATTCCTTTTAAACCGATGGTCATGTGCAGATGGGAATATGTTCTGTGCGCCAAGGTACTGAAGTATTCAATTAAACATCTGGAAAACCACAATTTACACATCAGCAACTTCACCTTTCCTGACGCACACATGAGGCTCAGTACTGCTTGCATCCACCAGGGGGCAGCAGTGTTTAATTTAAACCGTTATATTCAGAGTTTATGATTTAAACAAATCAGACATATCACTGGCGTTAGTGCAAATTAACCTCATTAACAGTGTCAAACAAACTTATATTGTTCTGTACTTATGTACTTTATTTGAGTATTTCCATTTTATGCTCTGGGAAAAGATGCACTTTACACTCATTTTAATGGTTGAATTTTTTTAAGCAAAGAATGCAAAAAAAATATCCGCAAATGTCTTATTTTCTATAATCCAATGACCCTTTTGAGGAGCCCGAACCCTAGATACAAAAGTAAAAATATATCCTACTCTATGTGTATTTTTTGCAGTATCCTAGTTTTTCATCATGCAGGAATTCCTCTTAGAGTATTTTAACATTCTGGCCATTGGATTTTATCTCTTTTATCGTCAGAAACCAATACAGATTAAATATATTGAGCTCAAAATATCAGAAAATAACTTGTCATGTGGAATTTCCATGTTTTTATCAATACATAAAAATCCTCCATTCATCAAACTCTGACGAATAAATTATATATAAAATGTAAATAGCTCACAGCTGTGTGGTCACATGCACTGTATACCATCTTCCAACACTCATAGGAAGAGGAAAACTAATCAAATTCAATACATTCTCTTACTTCCCCTTTTCCATTGCACAGCACATAAGGTGGAGTTAGATTATCCACTGCAGCTGAGGTTGAAGATAGGACAGTGGAAATATGGTAGATGGTGATTGCAGGGGAGGAGGAATATCCATCCCTGTCCACATTATATGTATGACACAGCTATAAAACAAATTCAATATACAGAAGTCTGTGTCTCTAAGCCGTGCAATAAATCAAACATATTGTAGCTGAAGTGGAATTGCATCTTAAATGGACCCTGTTCCCTGATGAGACGACTTACTGTGATCTACTGCTGGAACATATAGGCAGGCGTGTGAATTTTTTCCTCTTATCACACGTGTGTAAGCACCTATAAACTGTCAGCAATCCTAGTCTACTGTATGTGTATAATCTTGAATCCAATATGGTTGCAGCCTTCTGCAAAAGAGAAAATGCAGCCTTCCAAAACACATTTAGTAAATCAGCAACCTTGTGTCCCTTGAGGTACTTTACTACTCAAACGTGCAGTACTTTCACTGGTTATCATGTTTCCCATTTGAAAAGTCCAAAGCATGATTTAATAGAAGTAATTACACCTACTTTGGGAGTTTTTAAAAGTCTTATAATGAGTTGAGGCTCTGAAGTGTATTTTTTTTTGCTCTGTACTGTGAAGTAGAGTTACACACTAAAGAGTTTTATCTCAGAGCCACAGAGGTTTCCACTGACTCCTCTTCAATTTTCTTATCTGGCTTATTAAATGCTTCTCTTCTTTTCTAGCCGGTCGCTGTCTAGGTGAGAGGGGAGACAGAAAGGACCACAGGCCCTGCAGTATAACATCATTTCAGGAAGGAGAAAAACCTGGATATGTCCTCAGGTAAATCAGATCAACTGTTGACAGGTTTCACTCGAGATTTCTATTCCAAACCAATTTGGTCAAGCTGACCCTTGAGACGAATGCCCATGTGAAGAGGAGAATGAAAAGGCTTTCGTGGAAACAATCATATGGATGATGGAAAACTGCAAACATTGTTTTTAAAATTGCAATATTTTTTGTCACATTTTTTCTACACCAAGCTCTCATGCCAGTGTACCTTGTTGTTTCCTTGGCATTTTTCACGGAAAACAGCTGCCTGCTATGCTAAATAATTCACTATGATAGTAGATTTAAAAACAGCAACACCTCTTTAGTTTTACAGCTAAACAGTATTCTGAAATATGTTTCAGGCGTTAGGCGTTACTTTGAAGTCGACACTCTTGTTTTTTGCTTTTTGAATCTGATCTCTGAACTGACCCTTTCTCTTTTTGTAAGAAGTCAAACAAATCTCAGATTAAATTGCATTCATCATGTATTTTAGTCAGGCCATGCCATTATCTCAAAGGACCTAAAAATATATCTGACATCTTTCCAATCTACTAACTTAACTATGAGAAAGAAATGGAAATACAAGAGAACAGTGATGAGTTCAGAAATGTGATAATTAGTTTTCCCTAAGGCCCTCCATGGATGTCTCAAGTATTTGTTCCAGCTGTCATTGTCAGAGAGTTGTTTGTTTCCGGTTTGTTGTGGAAAGCAACAAGCTGTGACAGGCAGTCAGAGTCAACATCATCCGTGTGATTCTTTGTAGCAGGGAGGTGGAATCGTGATGGCGAATATTACCTCTAGGATTCACATTCAACTATGTCTTGAATTAAAAATGTACGTTTCCTTACTTTATTCTGTTCAATGTATTTGCATAATGCTTTCTGGATGCCAGAGCACTCTTCCATTCAATACATTGTAAATATACATTGTGAATTATGATTTGAAATGCTCTATCTCTTGCTTTTCACTGCTTTTTTTGCTGATGGTATACACTCAGGGTTGAATAACCAACCCAGTCTAAAAAAAAAACGTGTAATAACTACGTTGGTCCACAACGTAGGACGTAGTATTTCTACAAAAACGCCTCTGAAATTGTAAGATCCCTAAGTTTTTTTTCACCATTCATTCCAATGGCTGGCGTCTATGTCACGTGATCTTCACATTTCTCCCTGCAGAAAAAAAAAACATGGCCGAACTTCGTTTTATTCTCGGTGTAAAATGCCTATTTTAAAGTTAGTTTGGCCATTAAAATGCGTTTTNTCTATTATTAGATATCTTTCTCCCTGTGGAGTTGGAATAAAAAAAAATCAGAGCTCAGTTACAAAAGAGTGTAAACACTGGAGTTGAAGGAAAAGTCTGGTTATTAAAACAAAGCTATAAAGACATATATATATATATGTATATATATATATATATATATACACAAACACACACCAGAGTAATGGCTGAAAATATAATGATGGGTTCCTTATTAAACATTTTATAGGTATTATATAAACCCCCAGGTTAACTTAAAGTGGACCTATTATGCTATATTGGAAAAAATATATTGTAGGGCCATACCTATACGAAACATGTCTGTGAAGTTTTTTGCTTAAAATACCAAACAGTTCACCCATTGTAGCATGCCTCAAACTGCTCATACCCCTCTTTTGCTGTTTCTGTTAGAGAAACGCAGATTTTGGGTCCTTAGCTTGAAACGGAGGCGGAGCTAATAGAATCAGAATTATCAAGGATTATTTCTGAAACAGTATGGAGCTCAAATGCTTTTTCTCTTGCGGGTTTATCACAAGGTGAGTTCCTTTTTTTTTATTTCCTGCTTTTTAAAACACATGTGCTCTTCAGTACAGGTTAGCTCTGAGTGTTAGCGAGGCTTGCTAATGAGATTAGACAAGATTACTTCCAAAACACGTCAGGCATTGTTTCTGATAGCAACTTTCTGTGGGACCGCAGCCGATTTGACGTCAGATCGGCAGAAAATCTGTATCCGCTCGTTGTACACCCGTTTTTAAAAAAGATTTGGGTACGGAGGAAAAGAGAGAGGGTTTTATTTTCTGACGCTGCGTGAGTTCCCCGACGCACCGGGGACACATATTTATGTATAAAAGACATCACAAAGTGCATTTTGCATGATAGGTCCCCTTTAATCTAATTTATAAGGAAAACACACTATTTACTATTGCAAAAATCCATCAGAGTTTACAGAATGACCTCCTGCTTGCCATTGACTTACTATACTCGTAAAAAGAAAGACTCTTTACTATTAAATACCACTTTTCTGTCTGTAAGCTAAATGTGAGGCGGCCCCCTTTAACAATGTAGCTTAGCTTAACATCAAGAGTGGTAAGTTCCTTATTGTTTCATTATTTAGGAGCAGTCCAGCTGAAATACTGATTTTCTTTTGTATGAACTTAAAAAAGGTTTGTATTAGCTTTTGGCTATTGTACATGCAAAGGCCTCTTCACACGTCTCATGCCACTGATTCAAGGCCTAACACACTATCCTTGACATTATTATTTTGTACAACCGTATCCTTCAAGTCGCCTGACTGAAAGCACAGCACATAGATGTTCTCAGGAAAGAGACTTTGATTATT